TTTATCTGCACATAAAAGGTTTACGCACTTGCACTGTTGGTGCTTTTTTTTTTAATGGCGTCACTGTGAGTGACGCAAAACATCATCATCATCATCACATGATGACGTCACCACAAAACTTTAGTATGATGTCATGAATCTAAAATTGTGGCGTCATCAATTGTGAGTCTGGGTTCTCACCGACGCGTCTCCGCTGACGTGGGTTGCCTAGACGTCAAAGTAACGTCAAAGCCGGACTCCTGGGGTATCGTGTAGCGTCTCCGGGTGGAGGAAACGATGCTGACAAGTTGGGGAAAGCGAAAACAAGCAGATTTAGTGGCGCTTTGTACAAGTATTTACAACATAGAAAGTTCGAGTTCAGCGATCCGCGAGCGTGGTGGATGAACCGATAAACCAAGGTTCAGAGCGACTTCTTCTACTTTGAATAGTCGTTATAAGCCCTGTCGGGTTCCTCTTACTTGATTGAAAAACGAATCACAGACATGGCACATGCCATGGCATCAGCCAATAAAACACGGTCGTTGATGAGTCGTTGCACTCGACGCATTGTTCCTTTCGTCGGTTTCGCTCAAGAGAGAGGGAGTAGGGTCTATCACGGGGCATGCTGGCGGGGAGTAGCCTACTACAGTCACTCCCTGGAATACAGCAAAGGATTAGGCGACTTATCGCTTTTGTCTCGACCTACAAGGTCCGTTGGCCTCCTCGAACAAGCCATTGTGGAAGAAATGCCTGCATGGACGTTGACTCGCGGTCCATAGAAATCGCCACATTCTTATCCCTCTCTTGCTTCCCTCCGCTGGACGCTCGTTCTGTGAGAAAGGCACTCGAGTTTCAGGTTGTGAGAATGCACCGCCGCTATGCTCATCTTAGACAGCATGGGGCAAACGACCAAGAGTGAGAAAAACGCCTTCACGCCATCGTCGCGCAGTCAAAAAATGGCCGGTCACAGAGGTCGTGCAAAACCAGCAACACCTATCCCGGAGGCAGTGCAAAGCTACGCTCTAGGTGCAGAAACAAGACTGAAAGTTGAACTAGTTGGTAATACCTTGTAAGGGAAAAAAACGCGCCAACGTACAGGATAGAGATAGGTAATGCAACGCTCGCTTTTGCTGCGTTGTCGTTCGTCCCGTCCGATTGAGCGTTGTTTATTTTTAACCTACAGGGTGAAAAAAAACTCGGAGCAGGGCACGGAGGCCCAGACACATCGACTGAGACGAAAAAGATGAAGAGGAACACGACGCTTTTCATCATTGAGTTACCTAAGCCGAATGCACTGAGGGCTCCAGCAGTTTTTTTGTTTTTTTTTTTTGTCGCGACGTTCTCAGTATGATTGCACTTCTATGTGTGAGGAAACGAGAAAAAGAGAGAGAAAGAAGATATAAAAATAAACAAAAAAATAAATAAAAATGAAAAATAAATTGTGTGATAGAAAGAACAGATACAGAAAGAAATACAAAGAGAGAGAGAGGTAAATATATAAGAAGATGTTGGACTTTGTTTTCCCAGTCTTAACTGGCCCTTTCTTTGGCCACGTCGCTATGTCTAGGCTCAACAGGCAAATAATCGGTTTCGCTGTAATGCTGAGAAGAACACCAAGGTTGGCTTTTTTTTTTTCAGTTTTGGCAGCACTGGCGCGAAGCTGCCCGAATTTTTCGCGTCCACAGGATACAATCGGCAAGTTCGGTGTATGTATTACTATCCACACTGGCACGTCGATGGAATGACACGCTAAGACAGAACACACACAATCGCAAGTGTTGGCAGAAACTTTGGTTCGTGTGTCTTTATTCTGTTGATTTATGCGGTCACACCGCGGCATAATGATGACAAACACGTGGCCTGAGAAAACAAGCCATAAGCGTTTTCTTTTTTTTCTGTAAGCTTTCTGGGATCCTCGTAACTGGTAAACATATGTAGAAAAATTGTCAGTGGACTGAAAGAAATAAAATGAAAGGGAAAATGTTATGATCGCTATGTTCCTTACAGCCCAATTTAAATATTTCTGCGAATGAATGCTCATTCTCTTTCTGGCTCTGAGGGATGCACTGTTCTTACCCAGCAGTCGTTTCTATTGGTAAGCACGTCTACTAGTATTGGCTTTCATGACATAACTCGGACGTCTGCGAGATTAATATGAACGAAAGACGAAGGCACGACAGAACACGCCATGCTCAATGTTCAACACCTCTTGGGGCCAAAGAGTAGCACGGCACGTACGACGGACAAGAAAAGAGAGGACACGAGGGCTGACTAGTGGTAGCGCCTGTTTCCTTGTCCATAGTCTTTGCCACGCTGCACGTGTACCAAATAAATGTTGATTTACCCACTCACTTTCCCACCGCGGTTGGCCGCTGCCCTGTGCAGCCCAAGCCTCGGTGACCAACTCTGGGCCGTCCAGCAGGCCCGCGAGGCAGCGGTCAGACAAGGTCTTGACGTCCCCACCCGGCATACCTAAGGCCTGGTCGGTGAAAGCTGTGCCGGACTTCCGATAAAGTTGTTACCAACCAACCACCCAGATTGCATGCTGTGCAAATTCAGCCATCTCCTTACGTCATGACAAAAAAGAAAAATGCGCACACACGCACCCACATCTGATTCTGTGCATACATGTTTTCTTCAGTATTCATTCGTCTTTCGTGCTGATAGACTTTAGAGGTGTGCCAATTTGCCCGACGAAAGAACTGAAGTGCGGCGTATCCACTTTCAATATATTATTTTTTGGCTGGAGGGCCACTAAATTTATGTGGTATGATATTTCGTTGTCGTGAATTCCTTCTCATTTAGTAATTGGGAGCAGAAGAGCACGAAAGCAATTATACGTGATGAAATATGAACCTAAGGGTAAATGTTCTTTTTTTACAAAGCAAAAGGCAAAGGTAATATAATTAATGATACGCAAGAACGCGCAGTCTCCTCTCATTAATACTGTTTCTTCTTACAAAGTCGACGATTGCGCCACTCTGCGACTTACTGGGGAATGTCCGGGGCGTCGTATCGCTAAAATGAAGGCAAATAAAAGTCATTTGTCAGATCCAAATTACCATGGGAATTGATGTAATGCGAAGCATGCGGAGGGACGGACACTCTTTTGTAACTTTTTTGTTGAGCGCAACGTTACGAAATCACTCTAAACATTTGTACAAACGTTATACGCACAGATATCTTATGTTAAACAGTCGCATAACTTTTATGTAACCAGTTGTTTACTGCCGCGCAACGATGCCAACAGCAGCGTGTGTTAGCAACACCAGAAGTGGTTAGCTGAAATGCAGCGCTTGTGCTTGCAAGGATGGTGGCCCTAGATAGTGATACGTAGACAAATTTCAGTGGATGGCACTTAAGTAAAATTGACGATAACCTGCTTTGACGAGCCCCGCCGTGGTGGTCTAGTGGTTGAGGTACTTGGCTGCTGACCCGCAGGTCGTGGGATTGAATTCCGGCTGTGGTGACTGCATTTTCGATGGAGGAAAAAATGCTGTAGGCCCGTGTGCTCAGATTTGGGTGCTCGTTAAAGAACCCCAGGAGGTCAAAATTTCCGGATCCATCCACTACGGCGTCTCTCATAATCATATGGTGGTCTCGGGACGTTAAACCCTATATATCTATCCAACCTTCTTTGACGCCTGTATCATTAGAGCACATATGTAATGCTTATATGCTTATAAAATCATATGGGCAACACAGCAACCACAATTCACATTTAAACAACATTACGCCTGCATAGGATCTTTTTTCCGAAGGAGTTAAGAGACCTGGCATGGCTCTGCGGTACAGTATATTAATTGCCACGCAGAATTCTTCTGTTCGATTTCTCCTGGAACACTGATATTTATTCTTTGCATTCGTGGGGCCAACGCTTCCGATGTCGCGGTTCACTAAATGCCCTCGCATTTAAATTATCAGTGATTGTTCTCTAGGTTCCTCGGTAGATATACACTGCCCAATACCTATGGCACATACCCGCATGACACGGCCCACGGAAGGCGGGTATGTGCCCCACGTGTCTGAAGGAAAGAGTTGCACGTCGTACGTGACGGAATTTTTCACATTATTTGTATTCTCACAAGACAGTCATAATCGCCAAACCCTCTTGTCGTCTCATACTAACTTTGGTCTACCCCAAGTTGAGGTAAGCACGACAGCACCCAGACGTAAGCGTATATATAGATAGATAGATAGATAGATAGATAGATAGATAGTATGATAGATAGATAGATAGATAGATAGATAGATAGATAGATAGATAGATAGATAGATAGATAGATAGATAGATAGATAGATAGATAGATAGATAGATAGATAGATAGATAGATAGATAGATAGATAGATAGATAGATAGATAGATAGATAGATAGATAGATAGATAGATAGATAGATAGATAGATAGATAGATAGGATAATAGATAGATAGATAGATAGATAGATAGATAGATAGATAGATAGATAGATAGATAGATAGATAGATAGATAGATAGATATCAGATCAAATTTGGATGACTTGGCTGCGAGCCTCACTTCGTATAATGTTGCGATTTGTCGCTATCACATTCATTGCTTCACTTTTTTGGTGAACTTGAACTGACTTTGTGCAATCATCCTTGCCACAGTCACAAACGGCACTTGACAACATGTGCACGAGTAAACATAGCCACCGAGAAAGCTTCTTGAGACACACCTAGGTATACTGCGGCTAGGCACGTTTTGCAGGCACGTTTTGCAGGCCGTGTCATTCGGGTATAATGTTGTCATGAGGTGTTCGTGTTCAGCTGTACCTGTGATTACGTTTCGTGCGTAATTTGGGCGTGAGAAACGCGATGCAGGTTTCGACCTAATTGCCATTTTCTCGTGACCTTCCAATTTGTTGTTATCGCGTTCATTGCCTCGCCTTTGCAGCAAAGCTGTGGCTTTCTTTCTTCCTTGCTGCTTGTTTTTAGTCGCATGTTTCACATTGAACTTTCAGTCCACTGTGTGAAATAAAGAAATAGAGACAAAATACATCATTGAAGTATTCTACATTTGTTTTATTAACATAATCCAATCTAATTCTTTCTCTTGAGCAAAGAGATCGGACGGTACACGCTGCATGTTATCGACGAGTGTTATAGCTCGAATCAAGAGCTTGTTTCCGGCCATAGCTACCAGCAACCAACTAAGTGACGCCCATTCCCTCAGAGGCTGTGGTTTTGTCTGAGCGGTTTGTCGTACGCAGATGCCAGGCCACGCATTGCCAGGCCGTTAACCTGCGCCGAGTGGGCCTCGGACACCCGCTCATCGTGCATGCACACGATGTCTACCCTGAACACGCACATGTCCTTCACGTCGGCAACGCACAGCGAGCACCGCTGTGCCCGCGGATCGCCGTACCCTGCAGCGGTGGGGTCGACAACGGTGGTGGCGGGCACCAGGGACCTGGGAAACCAGGAGAGGAGCGTGCGCTTAGAGAAGCGCCTGAGCGACGACGAGAAGCGGCGAATATCTTCCTCCGGCACGGCGTCGGCCGGGTAGCATCGGGACGAGAAGCAGCGTCCCACGTTCAGGCGTCCCGTGTAGCTGCCGTACACGAGCGGGTTCACGCACGAGTTGGACACGGCGAACATGAAGAGCGACGACTGGAGGTAGTCGTCCACGTCCTTGGCGCTCTCGGCGTCGAACTGGTACCACAGCACCATCACCACGTACGGGGTCCAGCAGAAGAAAAAGGCCAGCACGATGACCACCGTGAGGCGCAGGGTGCGGTACTGGGCACGCTGCATGCGCAGCATGTCGGAGCAGCGCAGCCTGAACCGCGCGCAGGGAGCCGCGTCGGCCACGCCCGGTTCCTGGGCTGGAGTAAAGGAAGCTTCATTAAAAGCGGTGCAATACTTATTTGTTTGTTTTCCTTCAATGAGACAGCGCTTCGTTTTTTCTTCATGTATTGATTACGTTAAAGTCCACAGCGTTATTTTTAATGGCTAAAAATGCAAGAAATGAATGAATGAATGAATGAATGAATGAATGAATGAATGAATGAATGAATGAATGAATGAATGCTCCAGCAAAATGCGAGAAATGGGCTCGAGCGAAAAGCTAGAAAGGTAGCGTGGGAAGTTCGCGAGGCCCGAAGGAGCGAAAAGACATACAATATACGTTAGATACTCTAAGAAATAAGGAGTAGCCGGTGCCTTACTTATGCGCCAACATCTCCTTACATCACGTTATTAGAAAAAAAGAAGACAGGGCAGCAACGTATCGTGTCCAGTATTGTCGTGCCAGAAGTTTTCTCTGGTTGCAATCGGCAGATCAGAGATGCATCGAAGTGCTACAGTATGCGCATTTACTACCATCATGTCATAAAGACTGCCCAACTGCAGAAAATATCAGCGCCACGCGTGTGAACAATATTATAGCCCCCAATATGATCTGTATCGACCTTTAAATGATAAAAAATAGCTGCTCATAGGGTATACTCATCTACCTAAGTTCTTATAACAGCACAGAGGGTGGCGATTGTATTCTTGAGAAAATAATAATTTGTGACCTTACTTCTGCTGGACTCTCTCTATAATTTGTGAGCTGAATTTGAAATGTAATTCAACGCATTTAATGAGTCAATGATTAAAAGAAAGCTGCGAAGAAAGCTTCTCACCACGCGAGTCCTTCGCCTGGCGATGCATTTCGCAGAGGATTCGGCCGTACGAGAGAATGATGGCGCCCAGTGGAATCCCGTAGAGCACGAGCAGGCAGAACAGGTTGTACAGCGTCTCGTGAAGTGGCGACGGGAAGGATGAGAAAGTGACGCACTGCCAGAAGCCGGGAAATTCAGGATGCTCCATGACACGAAAGATGAGCGCCTGCACAAAGCAGGTATAGGGTAGAAGTACAGCAAAAGCTGAAAGCGATGAAAGTTACTTGCAACACTGGCTGCAGTGCACTGAAGTCGACATTTCGACCAACAAGCTCTTCTTCTTCTTCAAGGCTGCAACTGCTTCAAGGCTTCTTCGAAATTCTAAGCCTCGAAGAAGACAAGTGAGCTTGTCGAAACGTCAGCACTGGAGACAACACCATGTTCAAGCATGTTTCAACGAAAAGAGAGCAAGCAGGCAAATAAGCGATACATTAAGTGGGAAACCAAACTGTATTTTTCTCACATTAATCCCATCTCGCGAAGTAAGCCCGTAATACCCGAAATAAAAAAAGACTACATAGTTCCAACGTCGTCAAAAACACCCCACGCCCGTATTCACAAAAATGTCTTACGCTAAACATTTTTGCAGGAGAACATTTCAGCCAATCATGATGCAGGACATGCAATTAGCGAAATCGGCTGTCCGATAGGAAAACGCCGTTACCAAAAAGAAGTTTTGTGAATGTGGCCCCTGTTTCTATGCAGGTTAACTGTAAACGCGTTTTAAACAAGTGATGAGGGGAGGAAGGGGTTTCAGAGGCGAATCATCTTATGCCGGGGGCTGTGTCCCTTGTCCCTCAGTCCTGCGGCCTGTACATCCCCCCCTCCCCGAACACAAACAGCCCGTCATGTTCATGTCTCTTTCTCTTTTTTTCTTTTCTTTTGCGTGTTCCAATGCACTTGCTAAAATGCAAAACTTCGACTGCAGTGTGCCTTGATTCAAGCAGTTAAACTGCGCAGTCCTTTCATTTGGAAACCGTTGGGCGGATGCGAATGAAAGTGGTCGTGTTTGAGAAAAACAAGTGGCATTCCCAATCGCAACTTTAAGTCTGCGTCGCAAACCTTTCTGTGGCGTTGCCGCCAATATGTGAATTCTAAAAACATAGAAAGCGCGAAGTTTACCGGTATGTTTCCATTGAATGCTCCAGCCACAGATATCGTCGTCGTTCGAAACATTTTCGTTGTAACATTTATTTCCGGAACACTTAATTTTTAGCTTGCGTAAACTTGATTGATTCATTTGATTAATATGTGGGGTTTAACGTCCCAAGACCACTATATGTATATGAGAGACGCCGTAGTGGAAGAGTTCAGAAATTGCGATCACCCAAATCTGTGCAGGTGGGCCCACAGCATTTTCGCCTCCTTCGAAAATGAACCCGCCGCATCCGGGATTCGATTCCGTGACCTGCGGCTCAGCACCTTGCGTAACCTTATTACACTGTTTAGGAAGGTTTCGTAAATGCTTCATCTATATATTTGTCTACATGTCCCAGAATGATAGCGAACAAACAATAAAAACACATCAATTAAAATTTCACTGGCGATTTTGACATAATGCCTAATGCAAATTCTAAATGCAGCTGCGTTATAGGGCAAGTTTTTTGAAGTGTTTGAAGTTCTTACTTTCCGCGAGGTATCAACTGTGTCATAAATCCTCATTTTTGCGAAGCAGGTCAGCACAAACAACATTATTGTTCGTCCTTCTGCGGATATACACATACGTGCTACACATCTCTAAGGTACTATGTCAACATAGTTGAAGCTGCACATGGCTGATGGCGATGACCAATTATGGCAGAGCGCAGTGCAGTGGGTGTGAAGAAATAAACCACACACTCGTTGTGCACTTAGTATTGTGTGATGTCTGGCAGTCATTTTACTCTCCCGCCACGCTATAATGCAAAGGGTAACGCTATTCCTTGAGCGCAATGACACAAGTGACCGCAGTCTTCTTGTGAATGCGCTCCAAGCGTCAGCGTGGCTCTGTGGTAGAATATTCTACCACGCAGAAGGCCCGTGTACAAATACCGATCAATGCTGTGCATTTTCTCTCTCCTTTTTTTTAATGTCTATTGGTTATGCCACCGATGGTGACTGCAACAGTGATGGTGACGCCACTCGATGCAAAAACTGGCTCTTGATAGCTGCGTTATAAAATACATACAGTAAAGTCCCGTCTATTGTAGGTAGCCTTCACTGGGAGTTGCATGCAGTGGATACCATCTAATACCAATTGGGTGTGAAGCCTGAATGCCCTCCATGCCCTAGCCTCGTGGCCCAGCATTTTTATGGCAATCTCGCGTAGATGACGCTGTTTGCGTAAGCTCGGCTGCATTTTCGATGGAGGCGAAAATGTTGTAGGCCCGTGTGCTCATATTTGGGTCCATGTCAAAGAAATCCGCGTGGTCAAAATTTCCGGAGCCTTCCAATACGGCGTCTTTCAAATCATATGGTGGTTCGGGGACGTTAAACCTTGCATATCAATCAATCCATTTGCGTAAGTGGCCACCACAGACACAGAGAGCACGTGGGTGTCGTAAGTCTCAGCCTAGTCGTTCATGAAAAACTGCCCACTCGTCTCTTTCACGCTCTTCCATTCTTGCCCCTCCCCCTTTTCCTCCGAGCTGTTTTCGTTTGCTCGCATACGTCATTCGTTGCGCATCTCTATAGGGACTGTCGCTCCCATCTGATTGCACTTCGCAATCGCATTGCCAACTCGGTGACGGGGGCGACAATTCACACTCGACAGGTAATGGCCGCAATTTCTGGCGAGCATCGGACGGCCAGTCCGGGAGGAGACGACCTAATAGTACTTCGTCGTTTTGAGCAGACGCTGCTGCAATTTTTCATGTCGCATATTTCCGCTTCTTTTCTTCGTAGGGTGTTATGCGTCCTGACGAGGACAGCTTAATCGCCTCTCACTTCGAGGATTTACGACGGTGACCCTTTGAATGGTCCTTACCAGCCTACATGGTCTAGATTAGACGTCTATACACTGAAGTAATCACGTCGTATATAGCTTCATTTACAAAATTACGTTATATAGCTCTAGGAACGCTGACACTTTTTGCAACGTGTGCTGAAGTGTGTTGCAGTTCTTTATTGTCTCGAAGGATATTTCCAGAATAAACAACAACAACAACAACAACAACAACAACAACAACAATAATAATAATAATAATAATATAATAATAATAATAATAATAATAATAATAATAATAATAATAATAATAATAATAATAATAATAATAATAATAATAATAATAATAATAATAATAATAATAATAATAAATTGACAGAACACTTCAATTATCTTTTTCTTGTTTCTAAGTTGCGAGAGCGTGAATTCCTCGCAGGTATCTTCAGCGGCTGCAGTATAATTCATGCTTTGTATGTACCGGCGGACTTTAATACTCGGCGATGGCATTGTTTGGCAGCACTATCAAAGCTACAGAACCTAAACGCTCGTCTACACGCTGCGCTATAGTAAATAGAACCTATCTTTCATAGTTACCTAGCTCGCATAAGTACACTTTCTTGATTATATTAATACGACTAGCGTGGGAAGCCATTGGTGAATACGAAATATTGTGCACTTATTATTACTTTTTACTCATTTATTTCTTCATTTCTTGTACAGCGTCACATTGCCTGCACGCCTGTTGTCGCAGTAAACTGTTGTCACCTACCAGCAGTTCTGTGAGGGCACCTTGGCACACATCTTGCAGAGTGCACAAAACTAAAGCCCCCTTCCCCCTCTACTCCTTCCTTTTCCTCCAACAACTCCTTGAGCGATTGGAGACCATGTTGTCCAGCGACTCAGTCCACACTGACGGATAGGAATAGGAGCAGCTGTGATCGTCCCGAACCTAAGAGAGCCACCCCGTCCGGTGCTTGCACCACCAATTTAGTTTGGGTTCAGTAAAAGTTGATTCCTCATTATGGTTTCGTTCTTCGAGAAAAAATATGCTCAAAATCTGACAGAAATTGGCTGTCAATATCTATCAATGAAGTAATCAGCAGCTCCATCGGCCTGAATTGTCGGCGAATGCTGCGTAGCAGCGTGTAGCCATAATGAGTGAACGGTGTACCGAATCAAAGCCCAAGTTCGCGGTCCCCAATCGCTTCCCCAAAGCGCAAGTAACTGAACTTCACGGGCGAAACTGGCAAACGTATAAGCAGCAAAACGAGTTCACTGCGCTTACGAAACGTTTGTGCTGGCACCGTTCCAGTCAACTGTGCAGTTCTGCAGTTGTTTCATTCTCAACGCGATGCGTTCTGCCGAGAAGCTCCGCAACGACATAATCAGCGACGCTGACGTGTGCGTGCTTAACTTCAGCACGCGCATGGTGCAGACTACTGAACGACTTGCGAGTTCTCTTTTCGAGCGAGAAAAAGGCATTTCGCGTTTCGCGAAAGTGACTAAATGATGCCATGGCGTCGGAAGTACATCCGAACATTCCGAGGAATGCGAAGGCAGAAGCGGTAAGTACTTGAGTTCTTCTACCTTTTGCAAGCTTTCCGTTCATGTGCTTGTGGTAATAAATTTAGGTACGAATAGAAAAAAAAATATTGATACGCTTCCCTGTCTGTCGCCTGTCTGTAAGTTCAAATAATGTATGGCTGTTATGCAGTAAGATAGGTGAACTATTTTCATAAACTATTTTTTTCCACCAATAACTATCAGTATTATGGACAGTACCTGTGTTGCAATACATGTACAGATATGCAAAAAGAAAATAGCCGCAGCTTGTGATCGCACTTTGCGAGGGTAGACTGACCAGCGAAACTCAATGAAAGGCCATGAATCACTTTTTTTTTTCTTTGTTACACGTGAGTTCTCATGCATTCTTCCGATTCAGCTATGGTACTCGCATCACTTGGCTGCGGCGCGTCCTTGGTGACGTTCGTCAACTTTCAAAGCTTACATAGCCATTGTACTGTGCCTCAACCGGCTGTATATTTAAGCTGCACCAGGAGACTGCAAGTGCACTCGATCATGTGTGGCACGTACCCACGTACCTCGGGGTAGCAGGCTATGCGTCACACGCATCCGAAAAGCGGGAAATCATCTGAATATCAGTTGAATATACTAATTAGATGTATCTATGTGCATTGATCAGAATGTCATTCCCTCGTTCACGTTTTGCATGTACCCGTTTT